CCCCCCCCCCCCCCACCTCCTCCTCCCTCGTGACTAAACTTGACTTAATACCTGTCGATGAGGCGCACTTTCTTTCCCTGTTTGATCAGAACATGCCTAAATCAATAAATGACCTTTCTGTTTTACTTGTAGATGTTCAACCACTTATTAGAACTTGGCGCTGATCCAAATCTACGAAATTCTGAGGGAAGGACCGTGTTGCATCAAGCTGTCGAGAGTCAAGAACTTGACACTGTTGTGCAACTTCTAATCCATGCGGCAGATACGAACTTGGCTGACAAACGTGGAATTTACCCCTTGCATCTAGCTGTGGCTGTAAGTAAGTTACTTTAGCATGTAGATACGATATGGTGTGTACCAATTTGTCTTGGTCATAGTACCGATGGTAAGAGGGGCAACTAGCTAATTGATAGGTGATTGGAGGTGATTGGTTGAGCATGCATAAAGGAGGGCATTCTATGCTATTATGGGAATGTACTAGCCTGAGTGATTGGCCAGTATTAGCAGCACCACGGAATATCCATTGATGTGGGTTCATCTCGTGACCTTGAACTTGGAAAAAACGCGAGCAATGACCTCCACTTATTAGTACATTTGATGTGGGGGGGGGTGTTTGGGGGAGACGTCATGGCTGGTTAGAAGGACTACAGCCACTTTTGCTTTCGAGTGTAGCTACATTAATGTAGAACACTCTCTACCGATAGTAGGCCACCAAATTGGAGGATTATACATTCACTAGCTATTTCTAGTTTTTGACATATTTTATTTTTCTTTCTGTCTTTTTCTTTATGTCACTTTAATCGGGTGTTCTCTCCATCGTGTGTTTACTTTTTTTGGCAGAAATGTTTGGACGTCCACATTGTCTATGCGTTGATAGTTTTTGAGGCCAATGTCAATGCGACAGATGGGGAAGGCTTGTCACCACGCCACTGGCTCTGTCATCATGAGTCTGGCATGTAGGTGATCTCTTTCTCTCCTTCACACACACACACACACACACACGCCAATAAATGTACAGGAAGATAATGACTCTAATATTTATTCCCTTTTTAGATATCAAAGAAGTTCAATGAGGTGAGCTAATGTATTCTTACATTAATTAGTCCAATGCATGCTTTTCGTCTTTTACTTCACAAATCTACTATTTCACTTTTACTCCCATTAGTGTGGATGTTTTATAATCTGATTTACCTGATCTCAAACGTTAAGTCATGACTTTCTGTGTTAACTGGATGCAAGTGACCTTCTGCGCAGAAATCTTTCTGACTGTTACTCCAGACGCTTCGAAATATCTTGAAAGAGATTCATGGTGGATCAATCGCGCAGTCCTACAGAAAAATGACATTCATTTGGAGATGCTGGAGACAATAAATAATCTTTCCATGAAAACTTGAATCAATAATTTGTTTTTACTTATTCATTAAGTTGTTGTAATCGTTGTTGGAATGTGCTAGATTACAGAGTCCGTTGCCTTGCATAAGTTGGGAGTAAAGCCCATCTTGTTATGCCATTTTATTGATTTCATTTCTATTTTTTCCATCTCAACTAACCAATGGCTCTGTCCTTGTTTACCATTCTTATCGCATTACTCTTCTGTCCAATCCTTGTAATAATCGCCGATGATTGGCCAATTTTGTAGTCAAACTCAGGAGAATTTGGAAGTGAATCCAAAGGATAAACAGTCCTCTTTTGATTAATGTTCATTATCATTGATCCCACATTTTTGGGCTCGAGACTGTCACGTTGAAATTGGTTTGATTTTCCCTTTAGACCAATTTTGACACCACCTGAAATTTCTTATTGCGCTTTGTATTACTTGGGTGCTCCTTTGTTTCATTTTTTCTTCAATACTCTATTACTAACGCACTTTTGTACCTAGTCATGGGACTCGAATTCATATCCTTGGGCGCACATCATTATCTTTGAGCTTTGTTAACTTTGCGCTTTTTTATTCGCTTGGAAGGTGAATTTGCCAATTCTACCCAAATCTTTTGACCCTTTTATTTCGTTTATTTTTCTCATTCCTATAAGTAGCATATCGGTGGGATTCGAACTCGTGCCTAATGACCCCATTAGCTTTGATAATATAACATGATTACTGTGTATAAGTGTCAATACTAATTATTCTGGTGCCCATCTTCCCTTATTGTGCTTTGCATCTACTGAAACATTTAAGTAGTGTCCTGAAACTTTGGCTTTACCTGTTTATTTTGCTTTGTTCTTCAATCTAGAGACAAAATCCTCTACGCTCTTGACGTTGTTCAAGCAAAAAGATGCCCCTTGGGTCAAGCTAATTGCACTTCCGGCTGTATCAGTCCTCTCTCTGTGTCACGAAAACAATCGACATTCACGGGTGGTATTGCTGGAGATGAAGCACAGAATCTTCAAACCTCCCTCGAGCCTTCTCGATCCAAGAGCTTTAGCTATCTCACTCAGCTCCTTCAAGATACGCCCTTCGCCTCTGCTCTATGCCGTTCCACTGATGATCTCACGGTAGCTGAATTATTTAATGGAACACCTCCTGACCCTGTTCTATCGAATACTAATCTCACTCAGGATCGTAAGTTCGTAGCCTTCATATGGACCTCTTGTCCCTAGCCTCTAATAGATGTATATAGTGTAGTAATGTCCAAACTTTCAGACTTATTAATCTTAATTTTTCTCGCTTCATTTTAGTTGATAACGACCTCTTCCTTTATCTCGCTGGTCGAGGCTCCCCGTCCAGCTCATCTCGTTGTACCTCACCCAGAAAACGTAGTTCTGCTCCTGAAGTTCGACCGTCCAGAGGCTTCGACTCCTCAATAATGTCTACCGTTAGAGAGGAAGTCGATCTTGAGTCCCAAGATTCCTCATGTTCCCCCTCCAATATCGAGTCGCCGCCCCCTGAAACTGTGGAATTTCCAGTCAACAGCACTTGTCAAGACAATCAGCCTGGGGCGGAGGAAAGATGTTCCAGTCCGACTACAGCTCAAAAGACAACGGACTCGTGGTTCCGACGCACGGTTTTATCTCGATTTCTCTCCACAGTGATGCCCGGTCTCGATAGCCTAATGATGACTGATGTACCGACGGTGCCAATTATTGAAGGTGTGGATGCACCTCCAAATTGTCCTGACGAGGAGGAGAGAATGAATAATGGTTGCCTTGAATCGGATCCAAGCTCCGTCAATGTTAGTGTTTCATCATTATTTCTTACTTTCCACATTTTCTGTTAGTCCTGACCACAGTTATGCAAAGAACTGTTAAAATTACAAGTACCAGGAATGCCATAGGATTTGCTTTGTAATGTCCTTTTATTTCAAAGTTCAAGGGGTGTGCGATAGACTTACCTCCACGTGGTGTACCCTGGGCAACGTATACTCATACGGCAAAAAAGTCTTTTAATCGCCAGCTGACTTCTGGCTTCAAACTACCATGACCCCACTCTATGACATATTCGACTTCTTTCACAGTACTCACCTCACCTTTTTTCTACCTTTGTGTGTCTTTTTTCCATCTTTGAAACACTCTTCTGTTCCCACCCCCACCTCTCGACTTGTTTCACTTTGATGTTCCTCCTCCTCTCTGTTAAGTCCGAAGTCAGCTAAACGGCTAATTTCAAAGTTCAAATTTAATAAGTAAGTGTCGCATTCAACTAATCTGCCATTATGTATTGGACATCGTGAATCAAAATTTACTCGAAGGTGGAGTCGTGGAACATCCAATTTCGATTTTGAACTATGAATCCATCTTTTTCCAAATTCTATTCATTCCTCACCTCTTATCCAGCTCGCTTTGCCTTCCCGTCGGTTTTCATATCATTCCAATTCAGCTTCTATTAATTAGCACCGCTTGAGATAATGGATCATATCACACTTTGCTATAATGGTGCCCAGTATTTGTCCATCTAGAATAGGTTATTCAGTGGAGAAATTTTTGTATGTTCATATACTATTCAACTTTTTTGTTTCTTGTTTTGCAGTCTGTGATTGTTCCTCCCTGCGTAAATATCTCCAACCCAAGGTTAGCTGGCATCCCTGAAATTCAAGGTAAGCAAGACATTCACCAACAGGAAGATCAACACAGTGAATCTACAGACACCTTTCACACCGTTGAGAATCAAAACTCACACGACGATGACCACGTACATCAATGGAGTCGATCAATCGACGGCTGTTCAGGTCTTCCTGGTGTTCCCTGTTGTCTGGAACGAAATGCTCTCTCTCTTGCTGCCCAACATGAAGGTGTTCTACTTGGTTTTTGTCAGTAGTTGATAAATCTCGATTCCCAATTTCTATCTTCGACTTTCTTTACTAGTGGTAAATGGAATTTCTCACACAAGTCTTCCGACTGCTAATCTCAAGAATCTGTGCGAACCTTCTACCGCTTCTTCCTCAAGAAGCAGTTCATTGAATAATCTCCAGCGAGATCCTGAAGGCTTCAGAGTTAGTAGACGAGGTTACCGTGTACTCTGTCTGGACGGTGGAGGTATTCGAGGACTGGTTTTGTGTCAAGTGCTCCGCGCCATTGAACGTGCTGCTGGTCGACCTATACGGGATCTCTATGATTGGATAATTGGTGAGCTCTTTTCATCATTAAGGAAGATCGATGTCAGCCTCATTTTTGTCGGCATTAGCAGCACCAGGACCTAAATAAATTCTAAGAACTTCCCCCAGTTATTCTGGCCTACCATAAATGGTCTTCATTTCCTAGGAACTTCAACGGGGGCTATGCTGGCTCTGAATTTGGTTCAAGGCAAGTGTGTACGCTATAACCGATGCTTGTACTTCCGAATGAAGGAGAAGATCTTCGTGGGAAACCGACCCTATCCAACAGAAGGGTTGGAGAGTCTTCTTCGTGAGGAATTTGGTGAGACCCCCGTCATGACAGATATTCCGGATGTGAGGTAGGCCTACAAATCTTTGAAAAAAAGGAAATATTTTGTTTTCTCTAACTTGAACAATTCTTGTCTTTTGGAATATCGAAGTTAAACTCTTCTATTTATTGAGATAGTTCCCATCGAAATGTTGCTCTATATCATTTCATTCTTCTATGTTGTTTTTTTTTGCAATGACTTCCTCTTGGAGGCTTAAAACTAGTTTCTACTTTTTTTGTTCCCTTATGTGCAGAGTTTCAGTGACAGCTCTGCGTGGAGACCACTTCCCTCCACGTCTTCATATGTTTCGCAACTATCCTGCCCCCTACGAGAAGATGGAACGCCTGGTTAGTGAACTAATGGAAGCAAAGTCCACTCCAATCACTGCCGATTCCCCTCCTACCGCTCCTTCTGGCAAATTGGTAGCCCATTCTTCCAGCTCCACCTCAAATCTATCTACCGCCACCGCTGGTGATGCCCCCACCAAAATTAACACGGCTCCCACTTCTCTTTCCGGTTCCGACAATTCACTTTCCACCGATGCCTCCTACAAGCGTCTGTTGGTCACTTGTCTGCATGATCTCCTTGGAGATACTGCCAGGGAGGTTGGCCGAAACGGAGATGATGAATCAGACCTTCAGGAGACTATAGTCTCCATGCTATCCTCTTTTTCACGGCGATATGTCTATACCTCCAAAGGTACCAACCAAATTGTGCCAAACAGTGAGGTGGTGAGTTGAAATACAAACGTGTATTCTAATAGTTCTCTTTTGTTCACGTTGACGGTCCTTAAATAGTTGAGAGTTGTAGGGCTGGAATTGGTGACTTACGTGGTGAAATTAGATTCCCCTACCTTTCGTTGTGATTAAAGTCGATCGCTTTGAAATTTCAGCCAGTCTGGAGAGCAGCACGAGCATCAGGAGCCGCGCCAAGTTACTTCCGAGCTTGCGGTCCATATCTCGACGGCGGACTCATTTCCAACAACCCAACAATAGACCTCCTCACAGAATCGCAAGAACTCAATATTGTTCGGCGTCTTCGGGTATGTTTACTCTCTCGCCATCTCTAACCCCATTTTCCACATTGGTAATATCATTTACTAATTTATTTATACCAAATGGCAGGCGTTTTGTTAGTAATCATTAGCCCTTTAGTTGACTTCGGACTTCATGGAAGGGAGGATGGGGGGGTGAAACAGAAGAGTGTTTCAAAGATGTAAAAGAGACAGACATAAAGGTAGAGGGAAAAGGGTGAGGTGAGTACTGTGGAAGGGTTCGAATATGACACAGTCAGTGGGGTTATGGTAGTTTGAAGTGAGAAGTCAACTGCCAGTTAATGGCCGTTTTTGCCGTATGAGTATACGTTTCCTAGGGTGCACCACGTGGAGGTAAGTCCATCGAACACCCCCTGGTAGTATCATTAATGTTGATGCCGTCTCTTTTCTGTTTTAAGCACGAGCCTACTATCCCCATCGCTTGTGTCACTTCGCTGGGCACTGGTCGGGCTCCACTTCGTGAAGTTCAACAGTTAGATGTCTTCAGGCCTCAAAATATGTCGGAAGCTTATCGCGTGGCCCTTGGAGTAACAGAACTTTCGAGAATGCTCGTGGAAATGGCCACTATGTCTGAGGGTAAGATGAGATTCTCAATGGCCCTTTACTCCCATGAATAGCTATTCATGCGTGAATAGGTGGTAATATTTGCTTCCCACTTCCAATTCCTCATCTACTCTCTCTCTAGGTCGAGTTGTAGAACGTTCTCGGGCATGGTGCAACTCCTTGGGTATTCCATTCTTCCGATTCTCCCCTCTTCTCTGCGAAACCATCGCCCTCGACACGAAGAATGAACGCCCTATTCTACAAATGCTATGGGAGACTGAGGCCTACCTATGCAACTGTCAGGATCGTATTCTCAAATTGGTGGATTCGCTGCTTGGAATGCCTTCCGATGCCCCCACCTCGTCTTCTCATTCGGACACCCCAGAAGAACTTGACCTTTCCTCGAAATTTTCATTTTAACTCTTTTTTTCGGGATTTTCTTTTTCTAACCCCAGAAATATTTATTTACGCGTTCCACTCCTCTCTTTTTGAACTATGAAGTTGCTATCTCTCTCTCTCTCCCTCACTCTGCGTGATCTGATACTTTTCATATATAAAAATACTCTTTTTTTTGTAACTTTGGACAAATTTTAGTTGGAAAACATTTTTTTCTCACTTCTTTCATTAATAAATCCTTTAAGGTTTTATATGTTAAATGGCTTTGCTTTTCCTTTGGCCCCTGAATCGGGTTCTTCAAAAAAATGTATTTGTGTTGATTACTATTGGAGGGAATACAATCGATTGGGTATATATATATATTGATCGTGTATTTTTAGGTGAGGTTGGGGGGTAAGAGTATGGCTGAGGTGTCAGACTTTAAGTTCTTACGATTTTCATTTCTCCACAAGGTGGAAAAGAGGCCGCTGACTGTAGAGTTTCAAGAGATGCAGCGATGGAGAGCGGGGTGGGGGGGGATAAGGTTGCTTGTGGCGAATCGTGTCTCCACGAGGAGGAATAGATGGGATTATATTTGGAATGTGGGGTGTGTGATAGACTTGCCTCCATGTGGCGCACCCTGGACAACATATTCTCATACGGCAAAACGTCCATTAACCGATAGTTGACTTCTCATTTCAAGCTACCATCACCCCACTGTATGTCCTATTCGACTACTTTCACAGTACTCATCTTACCCTTTCTCAGCCTTTGTTCTATCTGTCTTTTTTACATCTGTGATTCATTACGTTTTGTCACTTTGATGTTCCTTCACCTCTATGAAGCCTGAAGTCAATTAAAGGGCTAATGATAACTATCAAAATGCCTGCCATTTGATATAAATAAATCAATATTTGGAACGTAACGCAAATAGGGTCAGATGACGTCAAACGTTCTATCAGGTACAACTCAGTGAGTGGGCTTTATGGCACCTAATTGAAGTGCTTGGCAATTTCAAAACCAGATGCAAATTCTAATTTTTTGAATAGACGACACAATTTCCACTAGAACTCTCTCTAAGTCATTTGCTATCATGTCAGTAAAAATCAAATGAATTCTTCTCTACCCTGATGGTCAAGTAAAAAACAAAATTTTGATACGTTTTTAGCTTTCCTCTCTCCATGGCCTATGGCCATTTTTGTCGACATTGGTCTAGGCAATTACCGGTATTTTCCGAAAATCCGTCTAGGGCGGTTAAACGGAAAATTGCATTTCATGAAACTCACTTTGGAACCGAATAAGCGATAATACAGAGGTAACATATTTCACCTGCGAAAAACATTTATTTATTTATAGCAAACATGACTTCGGGTTTCACAGAGGGAGGGGAGGAACATCAAAGTCACAAAAAGTCGAGTGGAGGAGGGGGGTGGTACAGAAGAGTGATTCACTGATGTAAGAGAAACAAAGGTAGAGAAAAAGGTAAGGTGAGTTCCGCGAAAGTGGTCGAATACGACATAAAGTCGGATCATGATAATTTTATGTCAGAAGGCAACTGCTTTCCGTAACGACTCAACCCGTAAGGGGAGAGTCAGGCTTCAGTTCCAAATAGAAAGAAAAGCTTTTAACGCACGGGCACTTATTCGGATGCGCCGACTTTCGAAATACACCGTTAGTAGTATTCATATTAATTTACTCTCCGAGTTTACCCGTGTTTGACACACTAATCTTGATAGAAATACTGGCTTGAAGTAGTTAAGGAGCCAAACCAAAAAAGACGATTTTTTGGGGTTATAAGCCTCGACCCTTTTCAGTCAGAAATGTAACCAGAAAGGGGGCCACGCATTTTTGCGCTCAAATTCATTATCTTGGTGCTTCGGTAATTACAAATCAATGTTCTGTCATGTTTGTCACAGGGGCTTATTTTCGGTTACTAAAAATTGACTTTTCAATTCTCAAAGACCTTAGGTGGGTACCTACCTCCTTCCATTTTTGCCAACCAACAAGGTGGTGAGAAGGCCGAAGCTGTCGGACGAGCGAGTAATGATCTGGGTCGTATTCAAGCTCAAATGGAGGGGTGGGTGGGTGTATGCCTACAAGTTGGTAACTGTAATGCCAATAACTGATTTAATCGCCTGAGAATGCATTGTATACTTTGGCAAGAAAACCTGCACTAAATGTAGCGGACTCCAACGCTATTAAAGACTTCACAGACTCAGAAATCTCTCTATATGCCAGTATCTCCTATATCTGGCTAGACTTTCCATACCAGCTGAGCTATAGCTAAGCTAGGTAGGAAAGAGACGTATTGTGAATTATGATCTCGACAAAATGCGATTAGTTATCAACAAAATCTAACAGAATTTGAGTGAACATTAATAGCTAAATGTCTGAGCAGAGCTCTAGGTGTACGGCCGCACACTCCAAATCCTGGCGTGGCCGGTAGATGACACGTAGTCATGGCAATTCTATCTATAAGCACATATACCCGACTCTTTCGCAAATTCAGATTCTTAGAGAATCACAAGGAAAAATTACTTCCCTGATTAAGGCAAGGTTTTCAATTCAACCAAATCAAGGGTATTAAGGCGAACTAATTTAAAAATTTCTATTTAATTAATCTTCAAGACATCGATGAGAGGTGGGGGTGGGGTGAGGTGGGAGGTAAAAAGGAGAAATCATTCTTTATTTCTGCCTAGTAATCTCTTCAGCTCTGAAATACGTTTTCGGTAGTATTTAAAGGCGCCAAGTGCATACTCCGTCATCTCGACTTCACTCAACTTTTCAGGAGTTCTAGTACCTTGCCTTAAAATAGTAGGTAATTAGTAATCAACAGGACAAACTTACCATTTAACCCTGAAGAAGGTATTGCCCTCACTATCTCTCATTTCCCTCAGGACACGTTCGAGGACCTTCTTCGGTTTCTTCGATGAACTGGTGGGAGTTTCCACTCCACCAGTGAGAGCCAACTCGTTGGTTTCCATGGCCTCATTCTCTTCAGAGGAGGAAAATAAGCCCCTAGATGCTGGGTTGACTGCGACTTCATTTGCGTGGGAATGTGACTGTCCTAAGACACTTTCATCCTTGGTGATGATTGCCATGGTCGCCTCATTCACTTCCCTTTCATGAGATGGCGGAGTCTGAGAACCAGTAGGCAAATGACTGGAGAGGCTTTTATCCAGATCTACACCAGGAATGTTGCTGTGCTCAGATCCAAAAAAATGAACATCCATTTCTCCCGGTTTTTTACCATCTTCCCTTCTCTGGTGTTTACAATATGGCAATGCAGGATTGAAATCAACTGCTCCCGCATGCAATAGATTGTCATTTTCACCTTTGATAAAACCCGAAGGAGCCTTAGAATCGTTGATGGGAATTGCATTAGTATCCACTCCACCAGTTAAGCCACCTTCTGGCATATCTTCAGATTCATTAGAGTGAGAGATTATTCCTCGAAATTTGCTGAAGTTTTCACCTATTCCCTCTTCGTTATGAGAGATGAAAGGAGTAGAAACTATCGTCACTGGAGAGGTTAAGTCAATTTCGTCATGAAGGGGTCTGGAGTTCGTCAATTGGTTTTTGCTAGAACTAGAAGCTTCCACACGATTCTGTTTACTGTCAGGAGGGGTGGCTAGGTAATCAATTGTTTGTGTCGACGCGTTAATGGTGGAGGAAATTCTTCCACTTCTCACTCCTAAACTCCCTATCAAAGATCTCCTTCCGTCTGCTTTGAATAGAGGGCGTTTGAATGCTGATAATTTTGTGTTTGCACCGTCAATCACCCCTACTACAGGTGCCATTATTTCATCGGTTTCAACGTTCCCATTTGACGGCGGTATTAGAGGTTCTCTTCTTCTTTTTGGAGGTCTTCTAGAAATGTCACCAATCTTCCTCCTTTGATTCCATTTTAATTTCCTTTCAGATTCTCTCGACAAATAAGGTGAATTGTTTTTTATATGTGCAAATGGGATGACTTCTACGGGGTGACCTACCCAGTGGATTCGATAGAACTTTTCGCCCTGTGAAGTTCTTCTTTTTATGATCTCACCTGACTTATAATACACTTTGCCACGTTTATCTTCTCCAACCGCAGACATTTCTTCAAGTTAATTGCTAAAATCTGACGATCACACTTGAGTTTCTATTGAGTTGTATTTAATTCAAGAGTTAAAAGTACATCACATCAGAGTTAGTAGATATCACAGAGGTGTAAAATTAAAACTTTACTTGCAATGTTGATTGGCAATCAAAAAAGGGAAAATCGTACATATAATAAAAAAGATCAAGGTCATTAGCAGAAATAAGTAGATGTTAAAAAAAGGAGTGGGTATGACTAACCTAATCAATAGCGATCAATGCGGAAGGCACAAGCTCCCCATGGTTCTAACTGACCCCCTAAACCTCTAATAATAGAAAGGAAAGCGATAATGATAATGGAATGGAATTCCGTCATGATAAATGTCTATGAGTGGTCAGGGGCATTAGGAGTAGTCTCTACCGGGTGGCCTGATTAATTTTAACGACTGTCTCGAACACTACATGCATCTGCAATGTTCTTGACTGTGGGGTGTGCGATAGACTTACCTCCACGTGGTGCACCCTGGGCAACGTATACTCATACGGCAAAAAAGTCTATTAACTGGCAGTTGATTTCTGACTTCAAACTACCCCCACTGTATGCCATATTCAACCCATTTACAGTACTCATCTTATCTTTTCTCTGCTCTTTTGTCTGTCTCTGTCACATCTGTGAATCATTATTCTGTCCCCCTCTCGACTTTTTGTCACTTTGATGTTCCTCCTCCTCTGTGAAGCCTGAAGTCAGCTATATGGCTAATGATAACTTTCAAAACGCCTGCCATTTGAAATAAATAAATAAATAAATAAAATGTTCTTGACTGTCAGTATTTGAGCTCAATTTTAAATAAAATCGATAATGCATGTGGGAATTAATTAGTCTACGCTAGGTTTCGTAGCATAATTCTTTTAGTAGTTGTATATCGGTGGGGGAGGGGGGGGGGGCGGGTACACGATAGACTTTCCCCCATGTGGTTCACCTTTCATATGACAAAATAGTCTATTAACCGGCAGTTGACTTCTGACTTCAAACTACCATGACTCAACTGTACGTCAGATTCAACCACTTTTACAGTACTCATCTTACCTTATCTTGTTCTCTCTACCTTTGTGACTGTCGCTTTACATCTGCAAATCACTCTTCTGTTCTCCCTATCGACTTCTTGTGACTTTGATATTCCTCCATTCTGGGAATCTTGAAGTCAACTAAAGGGCTAATGATAATTAACACAAAACGCGCCATTTGACATAGATAAATGATAATTGCTTTTCAAATTGTATAACTGGAAGATTTGAACGCAGGGGGTAATTCACATGAATTAATAACTTGTTATATACATATTCATTATGTAAATTACCATTATTTGGGACCTAAATGTCGCTTTTCTTCTGGCTAACCAAGAAATAAAAGTAGGTTATTTAAACATGCTTACTTACAAAATATAAGTAAAAATTACTTTTAATATGAGGGAACCCTTACGATTTTTTAATTTAGCGCAATTGACAAATTAATCTTTCTGTTTCCGGGGTGTGCGATAGACTTACCACCACGTGGTGCACCCTGGGCAACGTATACTCATACGGCAAAAAAGTCTATTAACCGGCATTTGACTTCTCATTTCAAACTATCATGATCCCACTGTATGTCATAACCGACCACTTCCACTGTGCGGCAAAAAAGTCTATAAACCGGCAGTTGACTTCTCACTATCGGCAAAAAAATTCTATTAACCGGCAGTTGACTTCTGACTTCAACGGCAAAGTCTATTAACTGGTAGTTGACTTCTCCGCATACGGCAAAAAAGTCTATTAACCGGCAGTTTTCTTCTCACTTCAAACTACCATGACCCCCCTATATGTCCTACATTCTCATACGGCAAAAAAGTCTATTAACCGGCATTTGACATGACTTCAAACTACAATCACCCCACTGTATGTCAAATTCGACTACTAGCTTCAAAGACAAAAAAGTCTATTGATCGGCAGTTGACTTCTGACTTGCAAAAAGTCTATTGATCGGCAGTTGACTTCTGACTTCAAACTACCATCACCCCACTCTATTACTTTAACGGTACAAGTCTATTAATCGGCAGTTGACTTCTGACTTCAATTACCATGATCTATTAACTGGCAGTTGACTTCTCTATGTCATATTCGAAGTCTATAAACCGGCAGTTGACTTCAAACTATCGGCAAAAAAATTCTATTAACCGGCAGTTGACTTCTGACTTCAACGCAAAAAGGTCTATTAACTGGCAGTTGACTTCTCACTTCACAAAAAAGTCTATTAACCGGCAGTTGACTTCTGACTACTCAAACGGCAAAAAAGTCTATAAACCGGCAGTTGACTTCTGACTGAAAAGGTCTATTAACTGGCAGTTGACTTCTGACTTCAAATAAAAGTCTATCAATCGGCAGTTGACTTCTCACTTCAAACTAAAGTCTATTACCTGGCAGTTGACTTCAAACTACCATGAGTAAGTCTATTAACTGGCAGTTGACTTCTGAGTTCAAACTATCATGACCCCAAGTCTATTAACTGGCAGTTGACTTCTCACTTCAAACTAAGATCTATTAACTGGCAGTTGACTTCTCTATGTCATATTCGTTATATTAACTGGCAGTTGACTTCTCACTTCAAACTACCCTAAAAAAGTCTATTATTCGGCAGTTGACTTCTGACTTCAAAGCGGCAAAAAAGTCTATAAACCGGCAGTTGACTTCTCACTATCGGCAAAAAAATTCTATTAACCGGCAGTTGACTTCTGACTTCAACGCAAAAAGGTCTATTAACTGGCAGTTGACTTCTCACTTCACAAAAAAGTCTATTAACCGGCAGTTGACTTCTGACTACTCAAACGGCAAAAAAGTCTATAAACCGGCAGTTGACTTCTGACTGCATGTGGCAAAAAAGTCTATTAATCGGCAGTTGACTTCTGACTTCAAGCTACCGTGACCTCACTGTATGGCATATTCGACCACTTCCACTGTTTACCATGACTCCACTGTATGTCATATTCGACCACTTCCATGGTACGCACCAGCACAACTGCTTGTCATATTCGACCCCTTCCACAGTACACATCTTACCTAGCCCCCTGGTTGTCATATTCGACCCCTTCGACAGTACTCATCTTATCTTTTTTTTCTACTTTTGTGTCTGTCTGCCTCTTTTACATCTGTGAATCGCTCTTCTGTTCCCCACCCCTCGACTTTCTCCTACTTTGATGAACCTCCCCTCTGTGAAGCCCAAAGTCAGCTAAATGGCTAATGATAGCTATCAAAACGCCTACCATTTGAAATAAATAAATCTTTCTGTTTCCGACTTTAGGGTTTTTTTCTGAATTTCTATCAAGTCTTGCCATTGCTATTATTCGAAATCCCTGTAATATAAGCAGTATAATAGACTAAAGATTTAAAGGATGCGTATTCAAGTCAAGGTTACCTTTAGTCATTATCACCTAATTAGTAACGAATTAGAGCGAGCTATTTTGAGTTATTCTTTAGATGCCCTGGTGTTTTTTCGGCATCTTCAACAAAATTGGAGATCAACCGCATAATTTCATCGATTGATCAACTTGCTCTGAACACCACGGATTTAATTCCATTAAGAAGCCAAGTAGGAACGAGTCCTGTCGCTTAAAAGTTGCCACAACGCAACGCAAAGCGATGAGCTACATTGAAGAGAACCTCAACTTTGCCGTCCCACTGCTCAACACATCAAAACAAAGCCATGATATATCAAGTGGTGAAAATAGTTTTGTCCTTGTAGGGAATTATTTTCGAAGTGATTTTGAAAAATGACGAATACGATTTCCTTTTTATTTTTTACAATTGTGTTGAGATTTACCGAATAATTCAGAAAATGTTTCATAAGAAATTCAATTCTTTGTTTCGGTTAGAAAACAATTCCGGGACAATTTGTTAAGGGCTGAATCGGTGTTAGTCACATGCTAATCATCAGTCCGCTAGTCATCCCTGACAGTCACGTGACTTTTCAATTTGTGCACGCTAAAATTCCTTGCCCCAATCATAAACATGGCAGTTGTTCATCGTTGTTGACATTGCCGGGGAATTGTTCGTCACCTCTCGGGGATTATTGGCATACTAACAAGCTGTGTCTCTGGGCTATTTAAGGGTTAGAAGATATTCCAGAAAAGAGTACAAATTTGAGCATCATTTAAAAGACATTTAAAGTGTCCAAACCCACTTTAATTCATTTATATGTGAAGTTTATTTTATTTCCTGTTTTGCAGATGCTTTGGAGCGTGGTCCCCTTATTTGGTTTCATTTTAATTCACCTCAATTCTCTGCCTCCTGCATTGCTCATGTCAACCCCTCACAACCCCACCCCACCCCCCCCCCCA